TTTTTTAGTGGAGCTGGGGATTGAACTCAGGCCCTTGTGTGTGCCAGGAAAGCACTTATTCTACTGAGCCATCTCCCTGGCCCGTAAAATTTTTGAAAAAATATAGAAACACAAAATTAATATACCAATGCATTTTTAGCAACTATTTCTCTTTCTTTCTTTCTTTCTTTCTTTCTTTCTTTCTTTCTTTCTTTCTTTCTTTCTTTTGAGATGGGATCTTACTATGTTGCCCAAGCCCAAATTCCTGGACTCAAGTGATCATCCTGCCTCAGCCTCCTATAGCTAGGACTATAGGATAGTGCTATCATGCTCAACTTATCAATGCATTAAAAAAAAAAGCACTTTTGTTTGCTTATTTTTGAGTCCAGGGTCTCACTATCTAGTCCAGACTGCCTTGAACTCATGGTGACCCTCCTGGCTCAGCCTTCTGAATGCTGGGATTACAGGCATGTTCCATCATGCCTGGCAAAAAAAAAGCACTCTTTAGAAGATGCTCAAGGGAAGTACAGAGAATAATGCCTTGTCATTGTGGAACTCTGCTTTTAGATATTTCTCTGCTTCTTTTGAAATTCAATAACATCACAATTGATGAATGCCCCTGTTCACAATAAATTCAGTTTGAAAAAAAAAAAAAAAAAAAAAGATGCTCAAGGGCTGTGGAGATAGCTCAGTGGTCTAAGTGCCTAAGCACCTGCTTAGGCAAATACAGGAACTGAGGTTTGATCCCCGGCAACACAGGCTGTGCTGGCCTTGCCTCGCAGGCATGCTGAGCTGGCCACCAAGTGTGGCGTGGTGGCGCAGGCCTGTAATCTCAGTGCTGGGTAGGCTGAGAACAGGAGGATCACTACGAGTCTGGGCTGCACCATGAAATGCTGTACCAGATCCATTAAAAAAAATCTAATGTCTATTGAGACTGGTTTAATTTTGTTGAGCTGGGGTCTGTATGTTGCCCAGATTGCTCTTAAACTTGTACACTCAAATATTCTGTCTCAGCCTCCTATATAGCTAGGAATACAGGCATGCACTACTAAACATGGCTAAAACTGGTATAAATAAATCATGGTATAGCCTGACAAAAGAATACTACAAAGCTACTGACAAATATTAAAGGATAATATGCATGTTGAGATTAAAATATTCATCAGTTTATTATCTGAAATTAAAAAGTTACAGGGGCTGGGGTGATGGCTCAGTGGAATAAACGCTTCCCTGGCAAGGGCAAGGGCCTGAGTTCAATCCCAGGTTCCGCAAAAAAAAAAAAAAAAAAAACATAACATTCACACACTGTGTTTAAGTTAATATAGTAATTTTT